TTTTGGGGTGCTGCCCCCCCGCTGGAGGACCTGCAGGTGGGATGGATGCTGGCTCTGGCCAAAGCTCCCTCAACAAGAGAGGGGCTTGGGACCAGAGCTTTGGAGTGAAGCAAATCAACCGTTCCCCAGGTCAGAGCCGAGTTTCCCCCTCTCCATCTGGTGTTTTCAGGGTGAATCCCACCCGGAGTGCTGTATTTGGGTTGCTCCCCTCCAATGCACTCAGTTGACAGCAGACATGGGCCCATCTTGAAGTCATTTGCAATGAGATTTGTGAGCCGTGCTCCCATCGAGCTTCCCAGCAGCAAGATCAACACGAGTCGTGCTAGTGGGGACACACATGGGGTCTGTGGGCACCATGGAACCATAGGAAATGGGGCACAGAGACCTCAGCAGCCCCACAGCTTCCAGCTGGGGCACGGGTTTGATGCTCCAAACCACTTGATGGTCTCAGAAAGCACCAAACCCAACCCAGAGTGAAAGGGAAAAGCCAAACGGAGGTGTGGCGGAGAGGTAGGAAGCAACCAAGGGCAAAGATTTCTCTGCCTGGGGTTTGAACACCGGTTTGAAGGGATGCTGGAGGGACACCTACCACAAACCTCCCTCACCTGCCACTTCCCATCATCACTACTTTGGGACCGGGTAATAGATTTTACCCTAAAACCAGCTTCAATGCAGGAGGTGCCAACAGCAGCCGATGCCACTGGAGCCGTCACGGCTTCATCTCAGCTCCCACTTTCCACGCTGCCTCCCAGCATCTTGCAACCAGTTTGGGGCCAGCATGAAAACACCAATGGCTTCTGCCCAAACATCCCTTTCTCATAGCAGCAAAAAAGCAGCCAATTTTGAAGGAAAGAAAAACCAAACCAGCCCCTCAAACAAAGCATCAGCCAGTTTCTCCCTCCCTATCCCCATCAGAGCCTGGAGCTGCGGTTGGATGTAGAACAAAGTGCAAAATTGCCAAAAGCATCTGACTTGAACTCCAGTCCTAGGACTAAAACTGAAATGAAATAAAACAAAATAAACTCCAGAAAATATCTCCTCCTCTCTCTCACACACATGCACACACACTGATGTCTAACTGAGGCATTCCTCTCACGGATAGGTCCGGTTTGGGCTGCACATTAGCACTTTAGAGACCTTCTTTAAAATTATTCCCAGTCCCTGAAGACTTATAAAGAAGATAAAATGTTCAGATGCTCCTCATGAAGCCAAACTGAGCTACTTTTGTTATTGCCTTTTTTCCCCACTGGTGCTGAGCTATGTTTGCTGGGTCCAGGAAAAGGTGGGGGATAAACTGATCTTTTCTACAGCCACTGCATACAAAAACCCTAAGGAAGGTTCAAAGTATGTACAGGAGGTGTTAATAGCAGCATTACTGGGTTTGGGGGTTGGAAATCTTCAATCACAGCAGCAGGTTCTGCCTCTGTTTCTTACCCCCTGTATAAATTTATAGCAACAACCTTCCCCTCATAAGCGATACCATCCGTATCAGAGGATACCAATCATTAGTAAGAGATTTAGAGGGGATTTGAAATGTCTTCCAGGGCTTTTGAAGCAATCTGTTTAAAAGATTAATTTTATTTTGAAGGGATGGAACTGCATCTCTTAGAACAAAACGTTAATTAGGACCAGAGCACCAAAATGCCATTTTTCATCCCGGGCTGTGACTTGCGGTTAGGAGCTTGACCTCCTGAAATCAGAAACTCGCTGAATCTCTCCCTTGGCCGAGTCTGACTTTCCCAGCAGCAAGGCCTGAGCGCCAGAAGCCGGTTTGCAGGATCCCAATCCCAGCCTCTCCAAGCAGAGCTGAAAGGAAATCCATCCCCATCAGGCATGGCAATGCCGGGTCGCTCCTCTTTCAACTCAAGCTCAGTGGAGACAGGAGAGGGAGACCAGATGTGGAACAGGGAAGGCTGGGAGATGTCTGCAGCATCTGAAACAAGGTCTTGCCCCAGGACTCGACTGCTTTTGGGTTTTTATGCTTTGGGGTTTTGTGCATTACCTAATACCATTACCTACTGCATTAACTTGTGCAATGCAACATAGTGGTCAACCCTTGTGGGGGGAAAAAATGGAGTTTCAAGGCAGTGGCAGCACTAAGTCTCTTCCCTGTGTCTCAGGGACCAGAGGTGATGCTTGCCTTCCTCTTCCCTTCATCCCACACCTGATACAGAGGAGAGAAAAACCATCCAGGCTGCTAAGCCCCTGCCTCACCTGGCAGCAAAGGCAGCAGCTGACAAAAGTGATTCAAAACTGTGTTTGACAGTTTATCCTCCCACTAACAGAACCTGGGAATGCCAGAGTGCCTTATCTCTCATGCTGATGCTCAGTGATGCCAGCATCCGTAGCAGCTTGATTCTGAAGGATTTTAAAGTGCTTGTTACTGTTTAACGGCCCTTAACTGAAGTGTCCTGTGGATTGAAGCTTCCACTGGTAGTGTCAGCAGCAGCTAGCTGGGATTTTGGTTTGGTCTCCATCCTCTGTGTAGGAGCTCAGGGCTGGTACCTGAACCAGCCGATTCCATCTGCTTTTGTACCTCCTTCAAACTCTTGTCCCCATGTCTCTCCCATGGTGGCACCATGGGATGGGGATGAGGAACAGAAGTGCCCTGTGGTCCTCTGGGTTGGAGGCCTGAGGGCTCTCCCATTGCTGCCAGGACCATAAGGACCAGTCTGCTTCCTTCCCCCAGCAATGTGGCAAGGAAGAGCTGGTTTCCTGTTAGACTCTGGCAAGCCAGGCAGTATTTCCTTCTTGAGTGTGTGGGATTTGGGATGCCAGGATAGAGCTGGGGATGCCCTGGGGCTCACAGGTGAAGCCCACAGGCTGGTTCACGCTCAGGTCCACCATTTTGGAAAGCAGGAAAGAGGTTGTCAGCAGGGAATGGACTGAATTCATTTCACTTGTCCCCCTGAAAGCCTTTGCTGGGTCATACGTAGATACATCTATGAAGACAATTCCATTTCTGGCCACACTAACACCAACTTTCAGTTACTACTTTTTTCCTCCATCCTTCTTACACATACTTTAATGAAGCGTTAAGAAGAAAGTAAGGTCTGATCCCCTCCTAAAAACAAGGAACCATAAGGCCAGGTTTGGTTCTTCCCTCTTACTAATGAAAATAATCCCTTGGTCCTCATGGCTGGAGACTGCTGGGACAGGACAACAGACTCAGAAGGTCAATGCTGATAATGTGCCCATTTACTTCCCATTTACTTCCAGGGTTAAGTAGCACGTACCCTTATCAAACAGAAAACAACAACAAAAAGATATTGCTGAGGAACAAGGAGGGAAGATAAAGCACCACCCCCTTTGTGCATCCAGAGCTGGAGTGTTGGAATTGCTCCCCAGATAAGAAGCACACAGCAAAAGGTGCATGTGGTCAGCAAGGGACTGAATGCACCAAGGAAGCGTTGCTGCCCTCTCCAAACGCAATGCAGGGATGTTTGAACAAGTCCTGCCCCTCCATAGCTTCAGGAGTCTGTGCTGAGGGAGGGGAAGAAGAAGGAACCTTGTTCTATAGGTCAGCAAAGCAAAACCCTCCACTCCCAGAGGGGTTTGAGGGCTGAGCACCCACCACCTTCAAATGAGGGTAGGAAACGGGCACGGCTCATACCCAGCTGAAGCAGCATTGCAGGGCTGTGACATCCACCAGGAAGATTTTAATTCCCTTTAACATCATTTGGGAGGTGGGGGAACTGGCTCAGGATAAGCTTTCACCTGCAGTAATTAGAGTCAAAAGGGTAATGAGAAGGAAAGGGCTAAAGTCCCCTCTCCCTGTAATCTGAACCCTGGGATTAAAGTCCTGTTGGTAACGATACCATCCTCCTCAAAGGCTGTCTTGATTTGAGTGGAGAATGTTCGGGCACCTCCAGAATAGAGGGGGATTTTGTCCATAGGCACTTCTGAGCTGGGGACAGCTGAGTGATGCTGCTCCATGGCGCAGCTCCACTTCGGGGACCTCTAAGAGGTTCCTGCTTGGTGTCCTGCCCACTGGTGAGCTTGCAGGGCTGCTCCTCACATGGCACAAACCAGGGTGCTTGTGGGAAGCAGAGGAACCATTGCACCGTGTCAGGAGGAGAGGGAAGATGGGACAGCAGCATGGAAAAGAGGTGCAAAGAGAGGAAAAAGTCCCTGAATGGAGTGCTCTGGACATGGGGAGAACCCCGTCTGCCTTTTCACCATCCCTGCTGAGCATCCCTCCTCTCCTGCTACCCAGCTGTGCCGGATGTGAGCAGCACCAGCCCAGTGCTGGAGGACACCCTGCCATATTACCTCTGGCTATCCCTTTCCAAATCTAATCAAGGAAGCAGCTCACAAAGCCTTTCTACATTCAGTGCAGGTCCAAAAGACACCGGCAGGTCCTAGACGTGGAGATCGGGGGGTGGCTACACTGATTACAGACAGGGATGCAGCTCCAGCAATCTGCAGCATAAGGAGGAAACCAGCCCTTGGAGGTAAAAAAAGAGGAGAAAAGTTGGGAAATCAGTTTGCCTCCTTCCCTAAACCCAGTGCACAAGCTGGCAAGACACACTAACGGGTGACCCTCTTTCTAAACGTGCTCCTTTTACCGGAGCCCATGAGGAGAACCTGAAACCACGGCTCCTCCCTATATTTCTTGTTTTCGTTTGTTCTGCAACTGAATAAGTTAACAAAAGGAAGTCAGAACGGTTCTTTCAATTTGGCTTCTATAAAAAAAAACCAAAACAGTCTGGGTGTGAACTTCTCTCTCAGGCTTCAGGACTTACCATCACTTTATAAACCCCTGAAAATAGGAGTTTATAAGAGGAGACTCCTGACACCACCTCCACGAGCAGTGCTGCCTGTCTGCCCCGGGATTGTTTTAACAAGGAACATTTTGTCATCAAGGGTGGGTTTCATGAATACTATACAGGTGAATAAAAAAATACATATATTCTCTTTGAACAAGAATCCCAAGTCCAGGCATGTGGAAGGCTGTGGTGCAGGGACTGGCGCGGGCAGGAGGTCCCCAAGTCCCTCCCTCACGAGTGATGGCTGTTGATGAGGCTGCGGAGCTGCTTGGCCACGGTGTCGATCAGCTTCTGCTTGTCCCTCTCGTTCTTCCGAAACTGGGCAAAGACGTTGTTTTTTCTGCTCGTGTCCTTCATCCTGCACAGAGCAGAAAGAGGTTATGGCACAGGAAGAGCTGCTCACTGTGGCACCCAAGCCCCACTAAGGAATCGCGTGTGTAGTATCCACAAGCTCTGATAGACACAGGAGGTGACTGCATCTACAGGCTCTATCCAACTTTTATCATGTATTTGTGGAAAGATGGGCATCAAGCCATGTGCAGGCTTTGCATTAATGCTTTAAACCCCACAAATCCCATCAATGTCACCATTGGATCTATCGCTATTGCCAAAATCTATGAAAGACTAAAGCCTCTTGTCCTCCCCTTCCAAACAGCCTTTCACAGAATCATGAAATCGACTAAGCTGGAGAAGACCTTTAAGATCAAGTCCAACCATTACCCAGCAGTGCCAAGGCCACCACTGACCCCTGGCACTGAGTTCTCGGCTACACGGGCTGTGAACACTTGCAGGTCCGGTGCCTCCAGCCCTGCCCTGGGCAGCCTGTTCCAATGCCTGAGCACCCTCTGGGCAAGGAATTGTTCCTAATCTCCATCCAAACCTCCCCTGGGGCAGCTTGAGGCCGGTTCCTCTTGTCCCATCCCTTGTTCCTTGGGAGCAGAGACCAGCCCCCTCCTGGCTCCATCCTCCTGTCAGGCAGTTGCAGAGAGCGATCAGGTCCCCCCTGAGCCTTCTCTTCTCCACACTAAACCCCCAGGTCCCTCAGCCCTTCCCCATCACACTTGTGCTCCAGGCCCAGCATCAGCTCCGGTGCCCTTCTCTGGCCCCCTCCAGCACCTCAATGTCTCTCCTGTATCCCTCTTTCCTATGTCCCCGTGTCACATTCTGAAGTGGTAAATGACAACATTGGTATATCAGGAGAAATTAAAACATTAGCATTGAATTCACAGCATTAGGGCTTCTTATTTGAAATGGTGCAGTGCATGCAGTCAGGAGATGAAGCTTTTGGAGCAGCTGGAAAGATCTGGAGTTGTGAACTGAAAATATTATACAATATTGCAGGATATCATTTATTTTAAAGGAAAAAATCCAGCACTGGTTTCCTTAATTTAAAAATTTTCTTGAGATTTGTATTTGTTAGATTACATTTCATAGAATCATAGAATCCCAGACTGGTTTGTGTCGGAAGAGACCTTAAAGCTCCTCCAGCTCCAACCCCTGCCCCGGGCAGGGACACCTTCCACTAGAGCAGGTTGCTCCAAGCCCCTGTGTCCAACCTGGCCTTGAGCACTGCCAGGGATGGGACATTTAATACATAAAGTAGCACCTTGGTCTCCACGAGGTCTCCAAAAAGTCAGAGAGAAGAAGAGAGGGTGGTAGGATGGGGCCTGGAGGTGAAGCTGGTGCAGCTCCATCTCCCTCTGCCATGCAAAGCTGGGGGTTCATGCACGCTTGTGTTCACAGATGCATTATCTGGGGGGGGGGCAGGTCTCAGTGCACGCTCCAAGCATGAGCTTTATGCAGACAGGGCATGTGCTGGGAAGGGAAACCACCCCACAGTGGTCAATCCTTCAACAGTTGAAGTATTAGGCTCCCAACATCCAACCTGCTGGTTCCCAGCCGGCACCGCTCTTGTGTAACACCCTAATTTGTAAATGATTTTCTTGGTGAATCAGATCTGGCAGAGGCTAATGGCTTTGGACGAGTCGTGTCAGCCTGAGTTTTCAGCGTTGGGGATCTAAATGAAGCATTAAAGTGACTGGGGCACAGCGCTGATAGACCTGGGAAGCTGGCACTTCATCAAACCAGGGCGTTTTGGAGTTAAAGGAGCAAAATCGAACCTTTTGAAGCTTACTTAACCAATCTAAACAAAAAAATAAATTAAGTTTTTTCATGCTTCAATCTTCCTGAAAAAGAGCCAAAGGGAATCTGAAATGTTCCCAAAAACATCCAGCTTGGAACTGGAAACAAGGATAACAACTTTATCCCAAAGGCTAATTTGCTAAAGTTCTAAGTGCCCAAAGACACAGGATTACAACCAAGCTGCCTTCCCAAGAGTAACAAGATAGCTCGGAGCGCTTTTATTCAGTAAAGTAAGTATTATTTTCTTAATTTCTCTATTTTTTTAAGCAAAGTAGGTTTCCAGCTGCTCCTCTGCAAGAACCAGGGAGCGACGCTCCGATGGGAAGCAGTGTTTTTGAGTAGCACAGGATAGAGGTGTCCCAGTATCCTCAATTTTGGACATAACCATCCTCCCATGGCACACTTTGGGCAGTGCTGTACAGTTCCAGCAGGTCCAAATCACTTTACTAGGAGGGCTGAGAGCACTGTTTCTACTTCACAAGCTACATGGGGGCATCAGAGGTGCTAAGAGTAAACCTGTACCTTCAGAAACCTCCACGTAACACTGTACCCATTGCTCTCCATCACTGACCGCTGCAGTTACCCCCAGGTAACACATGGGGAATTCACAGGAAAGCATCCTCTGCCATAATAGCCCTTTTTCTTATCCTGGGCATGCTTGGAGCCATCTCTGATCCCATGGGATCTGTTCAGGTCCATGAAATGTTTTTGAAGTAACGCATGTTGTATGCAAGAAAACCTTTTTTGAATGACTAGAAAGGAGCTGCATGGATAAAGCTGCTGGATCAGGATGAAAAAGCATTACAGTTGGAGCACTGACCCCATAACAAACCCATGTAGGTGGGTCTGCTAAAGCAGGGATGAGTGTCTGGGCGGGACAGGAGCTGCAGGTAACTCCAGACACGATGTGAAGGTAGAGGCACTAAGCTATTAAGCATTATTAATGAATTAAGTTGCCTACAGGACACAAAATCCTGCAGAATTTGGGTTGTGCTGTGCCAAGGACCCGGCAGCACCGGGTGCTGCTGCATCCCTGGGGAAGGCTGAGCTTGCAGATATGCTTGAGGAGACCACACCAGCTCTGGTCCTGCCATCACAGATGACACCGAGCTGACACAGTGTGGTTGGTGTTAAAGGTGTTCAGAAACAACAACCTATTTCTTTTCCAACACTTACCTATAGGCAGCACCTGGTCCCTAATTGAGTGGTGTCTGATGCATCCAGACACCAAGAATATCAGGTTTGAAAGAGGGTGGCAATGCTTTCGAGCAGCTAAGCAGCTCTATGGAGGACTGACACTTTAATTTCTTTAAGTGTGCTCCTGCAGAGCTTTGGAACAACTGAGCCTGGTTTGTAACATGGTCCCTGTGCGTTAGCACAAGAATTAAGAGGCAGGGAAAAAAGAGAGCTCAGTGCTGTCCCCACCCCTGTCAACGAACACCACCTTCAATAAAGCCAAGCTTTGTTTAAATTAATCTATAAGGGAAAAAAAGCAATGGAGTAAAAGCTCCTCTTTTAGCTCTAATTAGTGCATTTGAGACGATAAAGTTACCGGTGAGAACCGTTCCAAAGACAGCTTGCATTTAGATCGTTTAGTGCTCCATTTAAATCAAACAATAAAGTCACTGCAAGGTGAGGGTAAAAGCCCAAGCAAGCAGCATACTTACACTCGTGATATCCTATGGGAGGTGTGTGATTAGGAAAAGAGATAACGATGAAAACAGGTTACAAAATGAACCAGTGGATCAGAATTTCACGTCGCCTTGTGGGCAAAGCTCGGCTGCTACGAAGAGGGATGGGGAGGGCTAAGGAGTGGAGGTGCCTGAAGCTATGGCTGGGTCAGTGCACAGTGCTGGAGCTGGTGGATGATGAACAGAGACTCCCCAAAAGGCCTGAAGCCCAAGCAGCGAGAGGGCAAAGCATTCAGTGATGCCATGCCGGTGATGCCACACCACAAGGATACAGGAGATGCAAGTGCCAACCTGGTGGGTAACTCTGGGAAGCAAATGGGATACCTGAAAGTTGCCCTTCAGATGAGATTCCTTTTGGGGAGAAGGCTGGCAAGTCAAGCTAGGGTTTGTGGCTTTTTAACACCAATGCATGGGAGCTGCGTGCTTGAATACTACCTAGAGTAAATGGCCAGGAGCATGGAACTGCCCTCCTGCTGTCCCAGTGCCATCCCAGAAAATGCCACAGATCCCAGCTCACTGCCTGCTTCCCATTCCCTGCCACTTCTAACTGCTCATGCCCAAGTTCTCTGAATTTTGATAGCTCTTTATGTTACCATTTTATTGATAGCTCTGAGCATACCTCAAACTTTTGCATCATGGATGTTGGGTTGTGAATACGTAACTCAGCAAATTACACAACACACGTAAATACACATACAAAACCAATGTTACAGTGTAGGAAAGTGCTTTACACACAGGAACTACCTAAGTTTAGTCCCTGCGTAGCATATTGATAGTATTTGGATGTCATGAGTTGCTGTGAAATTAGTTATTCACCTTTGCAAGAGAGGAGGTGGTGAAGTTATGCGGATCATAACTACTGCAGATGCACCTCCAAAGCTTGGAAGCACACCAAGGTCAGCTGGTGCTCCCAATGAGAGCCTGAAAGTCTACCAAAGAATGGGTTATCTGGGCCACCTCCTACCAGGTGACTGGTGGCACCTCTCTCCCACCTGCTAGAGGGGTTACAAGTGAAGCAAATCACAGTCATGGAATGGTTCGGGTTGGAAGGGAGCTTAAAGCTCCTCCAGCTCCAACCCCTGCCCTGGGCAGGGACACCTTCCACTAGAGCAGGTTGCTCCAAGCCCCTGTGTCCAACCTGGCCTTGAACACTGCCAGGGATGGGGCAGCCACAGCTTCTCTGGGCACCCTGTGCCAGCGCCTCAGCACCCTCCCAGGGAAGAGCTGCTGCCTCAGAGCTCATCTCAATCTCCCCTCTGGCAGGTTCAAGCCATTCCCCTTGTCCTGTCCCTCCATCCCTTGTCCAAAGCCCCTCTCCAGGTCTCCCGGAGCCCCTTTAGGCCCTGGAGCTGCTCTAAGGTGTCCCCTTCAGGAGCCTTCTCTTCTCCAGGATGACCAACCCTGGAACAAATCCCACTCTTTGGGTCTGTGGCAAACTCATGGACTTCCCCTCCTTGCTGCTGGCTCACGGGACTGGCACAAGCCTCTTACAGAAAGTCAGATCCTCAGCAAGTCAGTGCATTTAGATACAAACCCTGGAATTCTGGTTAGTGGGATATAAAATAGGATTTTTCTATATGAGCTCTCACTGCCACACTTTGCTCCCTGGATCACAGGGAGCCTCCAGCTCCATCCCAGCACCATGATAGAATGTGCTGCTAAACCCCATGCTTGCCCAAAGCGAAATGGGGCTGAAAGTTATCCCAGTTATCCAGAGCCACACTCACTTTTCCAGCAGGACAAGGGCTGTCGTTGGGTTCACGCGAAGATACTTGCATGTGGGTTGCCCGTAGTCAGCCAAATACGTCGACCAGTCCCATTGGATGAATAGATCCAAGAGCTGAAGCAGAAGAAACCAACATACAGAAGATTTATAAAGCTGGTCAGAGAGCAGACGGCTTATCTGAGAGCTGACCCTGAGCAGGTTGAATTAAGCACAACAAATGGGTTTTAGTCTTTATTAATTCATTTAATAGTATTCTGCTAATATTTAACTCTTAACATATTCATATTTAGTCATTAATTTATTAATATTTAATGTTAATTCATGTATGGCTGTATTCATTTAGCCATAGCGCATTCGCATCTAAAGTGCTACTTTATCTCTATTTTTGGGGTGAACTAGCAGTACAGAGGATAGGAGGACCAAGACACTCCAAGGACATGGGTGGCAAAGACATCCTGATGCTCTCAGCTGCAACAGGATGGCACTTTTGGGATTAAAGTCACTGCAAATTTCTTCTGGCCCCAAATAACCCTCAGCACTATTTGAACCATGCCACAAGGATTTCTTATCATGCTTGCTCCATCTCAGCATCTTCCAAGTGCTTTGTAAGCATCTCTAGTGATGACGAGAGCTCCCTAGGGAGGTGTGGGACCCATTCAGGAGCTCAGTAGTTTATTGGGTCAACACAGCTACCAGAGGAGACCAGGAATCCCAGGTGGTTTCCAGACGTTTGTAAGAGAAACCACCAGCCGTGGCAGCAGTGGAAGGAAAACGTGTATTAATTCAGCCATCCATGACAGTCCTTGCTCCACACCTTCGTGTCACACCTAAAGCCCCTCACCTCCATAAAGGACAGACTAAGTGCCTCATCACTCTCAGCTGATTTAGGTGAGGGACGAACAAACTACAGTCCAGGTTTCCTGAATGTCCTCTTCCACCCCACCTTTTGCATCCTTATTTTCCTAAAAACCCAAACAGGAGCTCCCATAATCTAGTGGAAGGTGTCCCTGCTTATCACATGGGAGTTGGACTGGATGAGCTTTGATGGTCCCTTCCAACCCAAATTATTCTATAATTCTGTATCTTTCCCACAGGAGGACCTCCTCACCCTTAAGGGGACTTGCCTTTCCACCTACCCATGAAAGCACAGCTGAAGATGTACGGGATGCAGCCTTCATTTCCATCATCTGAAACAGGTTAATTAAGAGCAGCTGCATTCCCCCCCTGCCCCAGCATTCTGCCTTGGAGAGCTGCTGTGACCACTCTATTGCAGGACAGGCTGCCAAGCATGTGGACATCTTCATTGCTCCCAGCGCCCACCACTGAAGCCCGGAGAAGGACCATCCTGAGGCCAAGCGAGGACCATAGAGGGCTCATTGTGCCCGCGTCTCCATGGTTTTCCTGGAAGCTCCAGCACTGTTTAACAACACATCCTGCCCCGCCAAGAAGGGGATTTAGCTCCTCCGAGACCTCAAGGTACAAAACAAAAATGTGCAACAAGATTCTTTTTGACTATGTAGGTCAGGGCGAAGAAAAGAAGCTGTCAGGAACAATCCCGTGGGCTGGCGGGGGGGACGGATTAGCCAGGACCTAAGAGGGCTTTTCCAGCCTGTGGTCCTGAGCGGCTTTGTATGGCGGGTCCATTGTGTTAACTACAAACCCGAGTTGAACATCATTGGCAGGAGGTTTTTCCAATGGGCACCTTCAAGAGACAACCTTAAATATGATTTCACAGGCTCTTTTCAGAAAGCACGGCGGGGCCCAAACTCTTCTATCGGGTTTTGTTGGCTGCTGGGGCAAGTTGCATGGTTGAACAGGCTAAATCGGATCCCCCCCAACGCACCAAAGTCCTCTTGCTGGTGGCCCTGGGGGGCTGAACGTGCCTCTGGCAACCCATAAACAAAGCAGCACGAGTTACTGCACAGAAAGTGCATGGCCAGGCCATGGAGGGGCCAGGTAGCCATTCATAGGCAGTAGAAATAAAGCTCTAGGAATAAGTGACAAAAGAAGAACCAAATAAAAAGGAGAAGATTAGAAGTGGGTTAGGAGAAGACTGAATAAAAAGCATCAGGAAGAGTTATAAAGAAGACTGGGGAGGGACAGCAAAGGCTTGGGGAAGGCTCAGCAGATGGATAAGGAAAGGGCCTGGAGAAAACTCCCATGAATGTCTTTCTGAAAGCGTGGCTAATCCAGCATGGGGAGATGTTTAAGCAGAAGTTGGATAAACAGCCATTTAGGGCAGCTTAGCCCTTGCTCTCCAGCTTGGGAGCCCGAGCCAATGCTTGCCATTCCCACCAGTGCCAGGTGAAAAGTGCACGGTCCTCAGGCCAACAGCCATTGCTGTCCCACACCTTTCCTTCAGCTCTGCTTCAATTCAGTTCAGCTCGGGTAAGTTGAAGCAACGCAGCTCTCCCGCCTGAGGGAGTGTTCAAGGCCAGGTTGGACACAGGGGCTTGGAGCACCCTGCTCTAGTGGAAGGTGTCCCTGCCCGGGGCAGGGGGTTGGAGCTGGAGGAGCTTTGAGGTGCCTTCCAACACAAACCACGCTGGGATTCTATGATTTTACTCTCATCCATCAAGCCATTCACGTAGCACCAGCTGCATTCCTAGCTACAAGAGTGAAAGAACCACATTTGAGAGAAACCTCAATGATGGGGGGTCAAGAGCCAGCTAAACAAGAGCCAGCTTGTGCCCAGGTG